AATCAGGCAAATTCTCTTCATCTTTCCATAACAGAAATTGAAATGTAATTGATGGGCACTTCTAGTTGTGTATTTTTTCCTGGATACTGCAATTAGGCCTCCCTAATAGGAACAACAGCAACCACAGCAGCAACAAACCATAAAAGAGCCTAATCAATGGTGCCCTGGAATATCCACTTTGATGTGCATAATGCAGTCCTGCTTCTCTATCAGTGGTGTGGAGGTGCCGTGAAACCAACTGAGATATAACTTGCACAGAGCAGAGCTGTGGGTGAATTATGAAAGTAATTCCCTGGCAAGTGTAATTATTTCTCTCCTCATACACTGCACTCATCACGGGGTCTGGGGAAATTTCAGCGGAATGTAACCGACACACTCTTGGCCTCAGCCACCAGAATGGTGGAACACTTCCGCTAAAAAACGGAGATTTTTGTTTACACCCATTAATAACATCTTCTACATTAATGAATTGCATTCATGCTGTCATCCATTAAGAAGGTACTTTGAGGTCTCTCTCTGCACAGAACACTAGCTTCTCCTGATGACTCCTGTTATACAGCCCATAAATAAAACAAGTATTTTCCCCTCATATTTGAGGTCTGCAATTAAGTCTACTAAATGGACTGCAGATGCATGGTTTACTGTAAGTGATTCATCTTGGAAGATCATGAAAACATCGAAGTCACCACAATGAAGTAACATAGTTGTCAAATTAGGACAATTTCAGAGAGTAACAAACACCAGAAATTTAATCTATGTGAGCTAACCTTCTTCTTGACTATAGCCAGTGGTGAAGAAATAAAACCCTGAAGTAGGAAACCATATATACCACAGAAATTATGATCTTATGCTAATTTTTCAAATAAGAAACTGTATTTCCTGAAAGAATAGTACATAGTGAGGTGATATGGAAATTAACAGATGCTTGCTACTAAGTACAGCCTCTGATGTGCTAAAGTTCAGAGAGAGAATTCACCTAAGGAAAGGAAAAAGTCTGTTGCATTACTGAATAGAGAATATTTGATAGAAACAGGGAAAAACTGTCCTGTGATAATATATTCTTCTTTTGAACAGTCTATGCTCTGAATTACAGTTCTGAATGCTATTGTATAGGTGACCTGCTTTCTTCACAGAACATCCTGTGGTGGCAATACCATCCCTTTGAGGAAAAAAAATTAAAAATCTCAGAGACAGCAGGATTCATGGAGCATAGTGGTTAGGGAGAATAGCTTTCTTGTCATTCATCAGAGCAGATCTAGTCTCATGCTCCAACGATATCCTTCATTTATCTATAAGTGGCACATGCAGGGTTCAGATGAGAGCTGCCTTTTGCAGAGCATGAGGCAAGTCTACAGTTCACTGCACGGTCTTTCTGAAAGCAAAGTTGCAGGCTGAGTCCCTGCTCCTTGTCTCTACTAGAGATTTCTTGTCTCTACTAGACCAACTTCATCATCAACTATTACATCCTTATACTACAAATTAGATCCAGAAACTATGTGCCCCAGACACTTTATGCAGCCTTGGAAATCTGGGTCTGGAGCCAAGCAATCAAAGGCAGAGAAAGAGAGGTATTAGTTTCTTTACAGAACTCTCAGATGGCAGAGTGAAAATGGTCCCTTAGAGCATAAGATAATTATTAATTAGTTACATCAGCATCATCACTTGTTATTCACTGTATTGATTTTAAATGTCTCCTAAAGCATTGGTCAAATATTACTCACTGACACCAACAATGTGTTGGCTCACAAGCCCAACAAAACCCGTCTTGTCTCCTCAAAAGAATAAGAAAACAACCTAGACTTCCCTGTAGTATCTGATGTCTGAGAGTGCCCATTTGTCTGCAGGCAGCTTTTACAGCCTTACTGAAGAATATGATTCCCTTTACTGGCCAGGATTATTCTCCCAATGGTGGGAATATATATCTATGTATGGGATCCACATAGAGGAGCTGCATTTAATTTGATATTTGCATAGAAGAAAGCAGGGTTATGCATCCATTGGTAGTGAAATGGTGCTCTGATTCTGGAGCAACTATTTTGCTTTCAAAAGCACAAAGAATTCCTGGTAGTTTCAAGAATGGCCAGCACGAGAGAGGTACCAGGAAAACTCCTGATCATTGCACTCTTCAATAAAATTTGTAAAATCTTGGAAAACCTAACTACTTGTTGAATTTCTCCTTTTCCAAGTAATCAAAAAACCAAACAGCTCAGAACTTTATGCCTTGTGCTGAATTTGATGGGATTTCATGTGGCATAAAATCCTATGCCCTCAAAATCACTGTGGCAGACTCCTGTCAGCCTTTCTGCTGCAAAATACAACTAGATTCTCGAGGGAGAGGCTTAGGTCACTTCATTAAGACACACAAGGACACAGACTAATGCCCACCTAAATGTAGGGTTCGTTGTCCTGAGGTATGCAAATCAGCTCCTAGCTCAGTGGGGGAAATGAGAAGGGAAAGTCAAACAAACTGAATTGAACAAGATGAAGAACATCATATAAAGGTTTTGTGAACACTCCCTGTCCCTTCCTTCCTTTCCACAACCATTATCTCTTTCTTCAGGCTGACATGTGAGCTTGGTTCTGTTCTCAAATACATTGGTTTAAACAAACCATCATTCACCTGGTGTTTCCATACCACAGAAAAACAAAACATGAGTGAATCAGGTCCACTCAGAACCTCTAGAGATCACCCTGTTCATCATTGCCAATTAATGAGACTGAAGCTCAAGGTTGCTGTGCACAGCCCCTGCCCACGCCCAGATGAATTGCTCTTGGAGAAACAGGGAAAGAGGAACTTGTGGAGATGAGTGGAGGAAAGAGGAGACAATAATCCATATATAAATACCACAAGAAAGATGCTACAATTATTCCCTGCTTGTATAAATCAAATTTGCCACCTTATAGAACAACAAATTCTCCCTTAACCTCAAAGCCAAAATTTGACATTACTGAGACCTAGCTGCAGAAGAAAAAGATCTCCCCTGAAAGCAGCAGTTCAGTCTACCAGTTCCTTGCAAGTATAACAATATGCTGACAGGCACAGGCAGCTCCACAAAGCTCTTGGTAAGCAGATATGCAGATATTCAAATCTGTAACTGGATTTCTTAAAATCAAAATATACTACATTATCTCAGTCCCCTTGCATGTATCTGGAGATTTCTAGTGCCAGGGAGGAAATATAAATGGGGCACCTCAGCAATGAACTGCACATGTAGCTGACAACATTCATCAAGAGAATACGCATGCATCTGATAACTGACTATCCCTATACAAATTATAAAAAATCTGTATTTACATTTGGGACCAATTTTTCAGGGACACTGCCTCTTAGCCTGGGCAACTGACTATCTAATAAGTATTTCTGCAAGAGATTCAGGAATAGGATTTTTCCTGCCCTTAGGTTGTAAAACTGCTATCAAGCAAAAAGGAGCAAATTATTAATTTCTCAATTTAGTGGCTGAGCTGTAAAAACCCAGAAAATATTATCTGGAACTCTTTCAAATAAATAACACTTTACAAAATCCTCATGACTTTTTTTTTCATTCATTTTTATTGGCTTTTGTTTATTGGGGTTATTTTTCCTAAAATTTACCTACTTTTAAACATGAAACAAATGAGAAAAATGTATTGATGCATTTAATCTTGAAAAGGCTTAAATGTAAATTTTAAGAAAAAAAAAGTCCTTTTCTTCCAACCAAAATAATTCACTGAACACAGCCCCATTTCCACACCTTTCAACCTGCCCACAACTACATTTATCAACCATTTTGCCTTAAGAATCTCACCTGTATCCAAAAGTCTCTGCCCTAAGACTTCACAGTCACAGGGTGGAGATCAAGAGGATTCATGCAGTCCAACAGCCTCTGCCCACCTACAGGGTTTAGGCTGACAATCATCCTTGAAGTTTTAGGGTTCACATCATACTGTGTGGCTTTTCTTGATTCAAAATCATAGGTCCCAGACCTATCAAAACAGCAGTAGCTGTATGGTGTGTCTGGCTTCAGCTTTTTTTGAAAGACAGAAGGAAAAGGGGAAAAGGGAACAGGACACTGGAGTTAATGCAAAACTCAGCAGTTCCAGTCATTTGCTTCAGGAATATACCTTGGCAATGCTGATTTAACTGGAAATACAAAGAGCATGAGGTATGCCAGAGAACACAGTGAGAGGTATTAGAGGACATTCATGTTCATAGTGGAGGGTCTTAAACTGGGAAACATTCCTCACAAATTATTGTACCACATTGGAGGATAGAGTAAATGTATGTGCCACTTTGTGCTTGGCAGTGCTATGAAGCTTTACATCTTATAAATCTATAAATTGAATTCATCCTGCTTACACCCTTAGTCTTATAAATTGTTAGACTAGGAACAGCTAATGGATCAGCTGGTGATTTATTTTTAAAAGATGCATACTGCTGCTTTTTGGGAACTGAAAGGGATATGGACACTGGATGTACCCTTCCTGAAGCCTAAGTCCCAGGTAATGAGGAATTACTTTGTATCCTCCCCTGTCCCCATGCATGCGCTTTATTCAAGTTCTCAGAGGGGACCTACTGTTCAAGAAGAGAAAGGTCTGGCATTGTGCAGAGATGCACTGCAAAGGAAACCGCATGCAAAGAGCAGATGAAGCATCAGTAACTGTGCCAGATAATGTATAATGCAAAAGGATGTGTATAACTAATTTATTAGTATAAATCCAACTCTTCAAATAAAGCATATGCGAAGAAAACTCTAAAGGAGCAAAGCGTACCTGCCTTGCTCCTTGAGACAAACCCTGAGCTCACTAAAGCCGTCTGAGTAAAGTGAAGGATCTCCACCACAAATGATGCTACAACTTACAAGAGACTCACTTCTGTACCTGCAGCATCAGTCTGTGCAATCACTGCCAATCATAACAGAGGGAAGGATCCACCATTTCCCAAAGGCTTCCCCACTGCCTCAAGTGCTTAGCTTGAAAGACCCACTCTTTGACCTTATCCAAGAAGTTAAACAGTCACTTACCTTTTAGAGAGGCAACATGGGATAAAGCTTGTGCATAGGTGGCTGTGTTGAGAAGAGTCCCCGGCAGGCAGGAAGGGAAGAAAGGTCCTGTAGGACCCACTGCTCGACTCAGGCTGATGAAGAAGAAAAAACAACTTCCTTACAAAACCAGAACTAACTGATTCCAAAGACAGCATTTGTGCATGCACACAAACATGCTGGTGTCTTAGCATCCAACTAGATGGGACCAAACCCAAGTTACATCAGCCTCCCACAGACACCAGCTTCTCCACATCTCCACAGGGAGCAGCGAGTTGCACAAGAGACAGCTCATCTTCTAATGATCTGGTCTGTACGTGAAGATGATGCTGTGTAGGTCAAGGGTTAGCAGCAGGCAAATTTGTATCTATGTACACACATATGATGCATGATTGCCCCAAAGAAAGACAGTTGATAACATGTATTACTCCTACCTCTGCTGGATCTCCAGACCCTCTTTTTTATTCCTGGTTTGTTCTGCTGGAGAAGGGGAATTTAAATTCCTCGCAGGAGGTGCCACCTCAGCCATTGTTTCTTTAGAACCCTCTTGGTCAGAAGCACCCCTCTCTGTTTTCCTCCATTTAGCTCTTCGATTTTGGAACCACACCTGGAGCAGGAGGGCAATCCAGTCTGAATACTGTGTTTAGCCAGATGTTAAGCAAGGAAATTGTAAATTATTACTCTAGTGAAATGAATCATTTAGAAGCTTGGCTAAAACTTTCTCTTATTTTATGTCCCCATTGCTATTCTAGTTGAGCCTTAGGATTACATTTGTATCATCTGGAATATTTCTGTGTCTGGAAAACAAGCCAGACTTGGAAGTCTAAAGACATTCCAAAGACATGTTAAAAATAAAATTTTTGTTAAAATATTTTGATGTTACTGTACCAGTTAGCAAAACACTTAAACACAAGCTTGCCTTTATGCTCACATTTAATTCTCACTGACCTCTATGTTTTAACACATCCAAATCCTTTTGTGTCGGGATGGACTTAAATACAAATACAAGCACTCTCACAAAAGCATATGTAAGTCTTTAAATGAGCTGCTGCTAGAAACAGAAAGGTCAGAAATGAAAAGGTATGTATTAGGCCATCTTATCCAGCCTATTTCCTGAAGAGGACTGATGCTTGCTGTTATTCCACTGATATTTGTCCAGTCTGCATTCAGAGAACTCAAAAGGTGGTAGGTACTAATTCTGGAATATCATTCTGCAGTTTAATACACAGCAGTTTCTAAAACATTTTTTCCCCTGTAATGCAATCAAATATGCATGTTCTTGATTTTACCCCCTGATTTTTAGTCCAAATACCTTTTTTTTAACATTTACCCTGGAGTGATGCTCTGAAAGGACTTTATTTGAGGTGGAAAATGCCAAGACTCTCCTGAGGTCAGGAAATCCACATTTTAATACATGACTTCAAGTATAGGCAGGATTGTTATTATTATTGTTATTATTCTCCTCCTACAACTCCATTTTAGTTAGCTGCCTTTTAATTGCATGTATCAGCAAACGTTGAATAATGATTTTATCTATATTCTAAATTTAGAGCAGTTAAATGCAAAGCAAAATGCAGACACTTTCTTGTGTCTTAATTGAATGAAGGTCACAGCTATAACAACATTTAATTGAGCTATTTTTCATTATCATATTTTAATGACTTTGCACTGACAGTTCGCCTGCTTCTGAGGAAAGAGCATGATGAAGTCGTTTATTTCCCTATTTAGTTATTGTTTGACAACATCATCTTCGATTAAGACTCTGCTTTATAGCACATTAATCATATTTGAATGAGCAAGGGGTATAAATGTAAACATATCTCCCATCCTCTGTGTTTCCCCATGTCCCTGCATGAAAGCAGGCTAAACAAATGCTTGCATCTATTGTCTGTTTGCATAATAGCCAACAACAAGGCTAAACACCAGTCCTCAGCAATCTAATTGTCACCACCCCTATCTCACCCTTGCACCTTTCAGGAAGAAGTTATGATCTTCCACTTCTGAATGCTCAATAATTGTCCCATTTATCTCAATTTGCAGTTCAGTCTTTAGGCACCAATAGCCAAAATGGCATTTTTTTTTTTAAGCCAGTACCTACAATGCAGTGGCAAAAGGGGATTTTCATTTCCAAATAATAATCAGTTTAATTTGCCCGCATATGACCAATGATTCATGTTCAGATTTAATAATCAGGATCGCATAATCTGATTATAGGAGAAATAATTTGTTTACAATCCCCAATTTACTGCGGTGAATTCCATTATCTCTCTTCAGCCATTGGGTTTTAAGAGATACTAACATGACCCTAGGGAACAAAAGGCAAGCTATTATATTTCCTACAATTAGATCTTTGCATAGTCTTAACCCCAAGCACCTAAAAAAAAAAAAATACAGAAACAGCATGCAGAAAAGCTCCATAAATAAAATGAATACATAATCGTGTTCAAAAAATGGTTTGCATCTGTGGTGGATGCCTGCAGAGTTATAGGGATCCATCTCTGGCAACTTCAGGACTGCTGTTCTTAGCAGAGTTTGTAGACACACAAAGTTAATCCCTGGGTGTGGAAAAACAAACACTTGGATGAAAAAGAAAAAATAGAAAAGAAAAAAAAAAAAAAAGTGGGGGAAAAGAAGCAAGAAAGGAAGGGGTGGAAAAGAGAGTAATTGTGGCCAGTGGTATTTATTGGATCACATTAAAGGTGTGGGAATTTCTCTGCAGGCTCTTTAGCAGTCTAAATTAAGTGTTCAGAAAGAAGGCGAAAGGGAGAAAAGTTGAAGAGGTGCAGATTTCTTCCTGGCAGCTGGGCTCCCTGCAGTTGACTAACCCCATAGCTTGACAGTGGTCATAGTTTCTTTGGAGAATCACGTCTCAGCTCTTTTCTCCACACACACCCCCTCCAAAAGCAAGGAAATGGATGTGCATTGATGTAATTTAGTACCTTGGAGACGCGGACAAATTAGTGTAGAACATTATCACTAGTTAATTATGAATGACCGATTAATCAACCTAATCTAATATTCCACATTATGTTGATGTTATTAAAGTGCATCATGAAAATGACAGATCGTCTTCATTTGCGTTCTTTGGCCAAATGTGCACTCTGCAGTCATGATGTCAAAAAAAAAAAAAAGTTTGCCAGTTTGAATACCCGAGAGTTAAATAATTCCCCAGAATGTTTACCTGCACCCTGGCTTCCGTGAGGTTGATTTTCATAGCCAGCTCTTCCCTGGTGAACACATCGGGGTAGTGGGTCTGAGCAAAAACGGCTTCCAGAGCCTCGAGCTGGCGGGGGGGAGGAAAGCAGACATCTGTCAGGGGCAGGGCACGGGCGCGGAGCGCAGGACGGGCCGGGGCTGCCCCCTCGGGGGGCGTCTGACCGGCTGCCCCAGGGAGGCTCCTGCGAGGGATGGGGAAAGAGGGACCGGGCAGGCGGCGATCGGGGTGTAGGGCGGGCC